TTCTCTGGTCTCCAAGTAGTGAGGAGGGACGGGTGATGCAACTGGAGCACTTCACTGCTATGTGCAGAAGTCAGCATGCTGCTAGGCAAGATGCTCTCATTATTCTTCTTTCACTGTCCAATGACAAGAAGGAGGAGTAGTACAAGTACCTGTAACTATTACTTAATTTCAGCAAAAATCAGTTCTCCTGCCATGCTAGCCAGGGACAGAATTACAAATTCTTTGGCAGGTAAAACAACTTCCATATATGTATTTCACTTGTGTATGTAGCTGTTGGCTTGGAGTTCACCTTTAAGAGTTTGTGTCTCACTGCTTCTACTTCATAATGCATCACATGCATGAAGAGTCCAACCAGGCAAATTCATTTTTTGGGGCAAAACAAAATATTGGCAGAGCCTTCATGTCTCACTTACCTGATGCCAAGCCCTTCAGAACTTTGAAATATCAGCGGCTCCCTGAGTCCGCCTTCCTGAATGTACCTCATATTGAAATCTGGAGAAAAAAAACCCAAAGATGAACAGCTTGTTCACCACTCCTATGCTTCCCCTGAACTATTCCCCATTTTGTTGCCCCCTTACCTTTGCCCTCCATGTAGATGATAAAGTTGGAGTTGTACTTTGTGCTGTAAAGCTTCTCCTCCAAGTCAAATGTTCTTTTGCCTTCAATCTCCTCATCTGAGATGCCATCATCTTCATATCGACGACGGAGCGTGCTCCTCTGGGAGGACCAAAAAAAAAAAGTTCAGACATGGCTAATGAGTGCACTACATGAAAAGGAGTCCACCATAACCATCAATTACCCATATACTTTAAAGTAGACATACTAATTTTTGACCTTTGTCCTGGCAGAGAGGAAACTGTGAATTACCTGTAAATAAATGGATAAAGCCAACTAACCTCTAAAGCCTTGGTTCTCAACTGGTGGGTCGTGACCCAAAAGTGGGTCGCGACCTCGTGTTCAGTGGGTCACTTCAGCCTACCCCTAGAGCAGCACCGTCAGTTCTCATGCCATGCAGCCATTTGAATATGCTGCACAGAGCTGAGTGTCAGCTTGAGCTGGGATAGGATGGGGCTAGGGCCACAAGGGAGCTCCATCCATACGTGCATTACTTATAACTTCCTCATGTGTAGAGATACCTGGACCAGAGTGACATCACATTCTGGCTCCTGGCACCCCTACAGGGTGCGCAAGGGAGCTGTACAAGCAATGAACATATGGATGAAGCTCCGCCACAGCACATTAGCCCCCATTGGACCCCAGGCTGAGCATCCACTCCAGTTCTCGTAAGGTAAGGAGACTGGGAGGATCTTAAAAACAAAATTGTATGTCAGTGTTTTTGAGGACCTATTCACACTAAACGGACAGTCGCATAATCACCTCCACTACGCGTTCTGGTGTTGCAGGTATGTTGCATTGCTATTTAATTGAATGGTACACCAAACGCACCTCCCACGCACAGTTCGATTGCCAGCAGTACCACAATGCCGTGCATTCCATCACAGTGTGACTTGGGTCACGACTTAATGACCAAGGACAAATGTGGGTCCTGTGGTTACACAGGTTCAGTACCACTGCTCTAAAGCACCCCCTAGGCATAAAAGGACAGTTGCCTATGTTTAAAGCACATCTCCAGGCAAAGAAAAATGTACCCATGAAGTTGGGGTTACTGCCACACTGCAAGACTTAAGTGCTCATTTGGTCTAGGGGACTAAGACAAAGCGGTTTTATGTACCTGATCCCGGCTCCCATGGCAGTCAGCACTGACTTCTCCCCCTCTGCTTCAAGAATGTTGGAATGTCCTTTGGGGGTCCTCATTTCTAATGCAGATCAGTAGACCTGCATAAGATGTGATGACAGTGGTTTGTAGGGTGCCAGAGCTAAGGGGAGAAGAGGTTACAGGCAGTTCTCTAGGAGCCCAGAGGGAGCCAGGATCAGGACAAAATGAGCACGTAACCCTTGCAGTGCACGCCCATTATCTTATGGATGGACGTGAGGAGAGGTGTTTCTTAGTGCAGCAGGGGAGAACTGGCAGGGCTGCAAACAGCAGTACTTGAGCCAAATTTACATACTAACAGGTACATAAATCTGGGACAAACACCAACATTTATCATGCTACTCCAACTACTGCTCACCATGATGATGATGGATAGAATTTGCTATAGAGGAAAAGAATAAGCACTGAGCCGTAGAAATTTAGATCTACAATATCATGACAATGTAAGCTGGATGATTGGGCACACCGTTGTTCCATTTTAGTTTCCTTCTACATGTGACATACATACACTGTTTGTTTTTTTTAAGATCACACAGCATAACATATCTTACTTTCAATTCAATTGCAATGTCAATGTAACTGATAGGTACTGAAGTAGCTCAACTTTTGAAATCTCAGGTCTTATTTAAAACCTAAAGCCTATCCCACCTCAACCTAACCACTCTACCATCACATTCTCAAACAATTCTTCCCCACACAGCTACCTCCTAAACACTCAGGGGCAGGGCCCTCCTTACCATCTTGTCTTGTATTGTGATTGTAATGTCTTCCTTATATTGTAAAGTGATGCGCAAACTGTTGGCGCTATATAAATCCTGTATAATAATAATAAAACCAAAAGCTTTTACTTACCAGTCTACGGCTGTATCGCAAATGCTCGTCTTCCATATCTTGCAGCTCTTCAAAACAATGCTACAAAAATGACCACCTGAAGAAAAAACACATAAGAACAAATGTTAGAAATACAACAAAACGCTGAACAATTTCTGCAAGTTAAAAAAAGAGTACATACAAAGAGTACTACACTTTACAGCAACACATTTTCCAGTTTGTCATGGTGGCATTTTAAATGGCACCCCAATACACATATACAACGCACCTGTGTTGCAGGCTACCGCCCAATTTTTTTCGCAATAAAGCCGGGTCACCAATTCATTAAAAACAAAAGTCAAATTGGGTTTTAAATCAGCGTAGGAAAATTCCTGGTAAACATGGTGACCCACATTGAAGTCTCTAATAGGAGTCTCATTGACAGCAAGTTCATAAGTCACCACTAGGGAGCATCTGGAAGAAAAATGGTTGACGATTAACACAACTTTTGTGTGTTACTTGTGTGCGTGCTGAGCCACTGTCGGAATGTGTGTGCGCCAAAAACACTAGTATAAGGCTATACATTAATGCAAATAAGGTGAATGTCTGAACACTGCTACTATACATTACTGAGTTACATGTGTGAGTAATTTCACAGGGGACATTATGCATCAGTTATATGTGTGGGTGCGTGTAGAGGACACTATGCCTTATGT